TTGATTGTCTGTATAATTACATAATATTGCATAATTTTGCACAAAAAAAAAAAGTACGCGCCGTCGACGTTTTGGGATTTCTGCTCTGTTAGCTACACGAGCGCGCGGAGAGGTCTCTACAAAGTACAGAGTCTTGAGTCTTTTTGGGTTCTCTTTTTGAGGTCTTTACGGGGTCTCATTATCGTTTGACCGACAGAGCAGCAGACCGACCGACCGACCGACCGACCAGACCAATCCGCGGGTCTGCGGTCTTCGCTCTTAGATTGAGATTCGCTTCGTTTTCGTTTTCAGTATCAGTGCACAATGTAGTACTTAAATAATAGAAGTTTAATAGCGTTTTGTTTTGTTGTGCTGCGGTCCGAGAGATCCAAGACCCGAGACTCGAACTTGTTGCAAGTTGTAGCTGCCGCTGCTGCCCCTGCTGCTGCTGCTGCTGCTTTGAACTACTAATGCATTCAGCTGTAGGATTTTTGTCAAGGTTATCCAGTTGTTGTTTGCTGTTTGGATGGCGGATATAATGACATGATGCATAGAGATACTCTCATCGTTGGATGGAGGGAAGTGGAAGCCCAAAGTCTGTGCTGTGCTGTACTGTTTTTTTTTTTTGGAAGGAAGTTTACTTTTAAGCGGCAGTGTAATTGTGTGTAGTTCGTTCAAGTTCGCTGCCCAAGTCATTTGGCAAGAGGCTGGCCGCCGCCTAACGAACTCTAGAACGAAACGATCTTTTGCTGTTATTGCATTCTCATATGGCCTGCAGCAGCAGCAGCCGTGGCAGCCATGGCAGCATCTCTGGCTAATTTCGCTCATTAATCATGAGAGTAGAGGGAGCTGCAGCTGGAGATGGAGCTGCTCTGTTGCTCTGCTGCTTCCCGAAAACTGATTACACATGTACGGCCCCCTCGAAATCGAAAGATCTGTCTGCCCAAAAGGCAGGCAACACAACACACAACACACAACAACATTGTGGCTGGCAGTCTGTGAAATGTATCTGCAAACAAATGAAGTTGTCTGCTGCAATTCTAAGCCTCTTCTCCATTCCTAGTAGAGTCATCAAGGATCTCCTCTCGAGAGGATTGATCATTGATCTTTTGGCACTCAATCCTCTGCATCAGCATCAGCATAGCATCTCTCTCCTGGCTGCTCTCTTGTCTGCTCACGAATTATAAATAGTGCAAATGCGTGCAGTGCATCATCATCATTAGTTTTCGGGCCAACAACAAAAAAAAAAACCATGGGCAATAGACTTGTCTCTAGAGAGACGGCGTCTCGCGCTCTCTCTCTCTCTCTGTCTCTCTATCTCTTTGCCCTACAACTGCTCTGGCAATTACCTGTACGAGTGTGCCTGTCTTTAGTTTCTTTTGCTAAATTGTTTCAAATTTATTTCTGTGCCTAAGATAATTACTAGAAGAACTTTTAACAGGGTTATAGCCATTTGGAGATGGTGTTTGTTAGGCAGCAGATGGCAGATGCAAAGGTTATTTTAGGGTCTAAAGTAGTCTTTGGATATATTGAAAATTAAAGGAAGAATCGAAGCAGAATTATTTATTATTTATTTTAAATAAATATTATATCTATTATTATTATAGATCTACAGAATGATAGAGTTTAAGCGAAGTTTCTTACGGCACCACATAGAAAATGACCAAACAAATATTTTTTTCTTTTTTTTAATTAAATTTATTTGGGAATCTTCGAAATGTGGAAAATAATCCATTGAATGCTGTAAAACCTCTAAGCCCTTTTTCCTCGAAAGGGTATTCCACATGAACCGCTGCTGCTGCTCCGATTTCTGGCCCCCAAGTTCGTGTCCTGAGTCTTTCGTTTCGTTTCGTTTCGCTCCGTTTCGTTCTGTGGCATTCAGGCATTTTCTAATTGCAATTTAATTTCTTGTTGCGAACATAAATTTAACATTCTAATTGAGTTATCAACCGCAACATGTACATGCACATCCACCAAAAAAAAAAAGGAGGAGAAGAAACCCCAAGTGGTAGATGGAGTCTCTGGCAACAGGAGGCAGCAGCAGCCACAGGAGGAGGCATGAGAAGGAGATGCCTGGACGACAGCGGACAACTTTTACAGCTTCTCATCTTCTCTCATCGTCTCGGGGGGAGCCGCAAAACAGGCTACGGCTACGCGCTACGCACATGTGAAAAATGGCCTACGTTCCGTCGGGTTCTACACCACAAAAATTGCAACAAAAGAGCCACAAGTGACTGCCACAAGATGTTGCTGTTGCTGCTGCTGCTGTTGCTGTGGCAGTAATTACATTTCGGTGTGTGTGCAACTTTTTGGGGCCTCTGCTGCTGTTGCTGCTGTTGCTTCTGCTAATTTGCCTGCTGCTTCTGTTTTTTCTTCTTGTTTTTTTTTTTGACTAATTTTTTTGTTTTTTGTGTTTGTTTTTCGCGTTGCAGCTTCTGCTTTTTGAGTGAGAATTTCCCGCAAACGCTTGCAACGTGAAAATATTTGCCACTGGCATAAGGCTCGTAATTAATTTACTTTGTGTGTTGTGGCAGCCGCCAAGGAGTCGCGCACACACAGCAAACAAAACAGCAAACAAAAAAAAATATGAAGAAAAATCCATTACGCAAATGTTTATGACCAAAATGGTCAGCACTGAAAGGCCACTGTCTGTTGCCTGCTGCTGCTGCTGCCAATGCAAATAGAAAAGATATGTGCGTGTGTGCCCCAAAACGAGGCAAACGGAGGATCCCAGCCCCCAGGTCTTCAGATCGAAGCGGAGCTCTCTCACATACATCACAACATTGTAATGCATTTTTTGCTTTGGATACCGCCCACCCCCTGGCCTGTTCCCTGCCCCCTGCGCAGACTCTGCCATTGGAAATGCTGGGAAATTAGTTTTTCTTTCCTGCTGCTGATGCTGCCATCAACGGGAGTTTTTTGTTGTTGTTGTTGTTGTTTGTTTGGAGGCGTGATCGTATCCGAAGCGAAGGTCGTGGCAATATGGAGATGTTGCAAGAACATTACTCGTAAATCTCCTCGCCCGTACATTTATGGCTCCGACTAATGCAGATTTGTGTATCTTTTGCTTTTGTGGAACTTCTCTCATTAGTGGGGGGAAAATATTTCATTATTTTTTTTTTTGGCAGGGGTGTTTCCATTTGGGAGATTTAATTTTGCTAGTTGATGGATTTGTCTACGACTTTGCTTTGCGATATCTTTGGGGAATGGATTTCTAGAATTATGTAGGGAATGTAAGATATCTTTTGTTGCTGTTGCAGACATCGAAAATGGTAGTAATATATTATAAGTTTCATTTTAACAATGTGAAATGGAAAAGAAACATAATTCGGGGTTAAAGATTGTAGAAGAATAAAAAGAAAAAGAGTTTTTATTGAAGCAATGAAACCTAGGTTTTGCCTGTTTTTTATCCCAATTATTTTTGGTTCATATATTTCTCTATAGCTACCTTATCCTTAGTTATCCTTAGAGCTTTATTTACTAGGTTGTCAAAAAAATGCAATGCAGTCAAGAGAGAATACAAAACAATGTCCCTTGGTTTCCTCTTGCTTTAGTTAGTTTTCTCTTCCAGTGTGGCTTAGCAGTTAGGGATGGGCTTTCAGTTTTCCACCACTCTCTCTGCCATTATGGCTTATCAATATCTCTTACGCTTGGCATTTCATGCGTATGTTTCAAAAAAAACCAAAACAATAAAGTCCATTAATTAATATGCCATTCCATAGATCCTTCATTTCATATTTAATTATAAGAAATATGATATTCATTTAGCAGTCATTCAAAAAGCACTTCCAATGTATAACTTCTCTACTTTGCAGAAAAAAGAGACAGAGAGAGAGCGAATGACATCAAGCTATGCCACTTAAGCCACTATTCAAAAAATTCCTTACTCTGCGATGTCTTCGAACTTGTTTCATATTCATATTCAAAAAATTCATAAATTTATTAGCTAATGCTACCAAGTGGCCCAAATTCGAGCCGCTTTGCTGCTGCTGTCGTTTGTTGTTGCCTTCATTTTAATCAAACATTTAGTTTATCGTCTCACATTTCAACTAATTAACACTACGAATGGGGGTCCGCCTCTTTGCCACAGCCGTTGGATTTGGATCGGAGATGGCTGAAGGCAGACTTTTCGTTTTTGGATTGTTTTTGTTTTGCCGACACACACACACACACACACACACCATACTGATCGACTAAACGAAAATCAGCTTAAAATCATAAAAAACGCACTTAAATAAAATTTAATATTCAAATATTGACATTTAGTGCCATGTTAGCAGGCAACTTACGTGTTTTTCTCGCTCTCTATAGCTCCTCTATATCTATCTCTCTTTCTCTCTCCCCACCTCTCCCCTTGCTCTTCCTTTGGTTTATATATTTCTTTTCAAATACCCCTTAAAATATGCATGTGGATTGTTTTGGAGACAGAAAGACAACGCGCACTACTCTATGGATTTACTAATTGATCTGCATCTAATTTCAAAATACAACAAAAAACGAAAAAGACGAGGCAGGTGACTTCTACTTGACGATGATCGTTTTTTCTCTCTGTCTCTCTCTCTTTCTCTCTTTTGGCTATTAAAATTATGACATCATTTAAATATTTTCGCCGTTGTTTCGCCAGCATTTCATGTGTGTTTAAACTGGTTTAGGCCATCCCCACAGACCCCCGACCACAGACCCCACGAACATCAAACCCCATAATTCATAAATTCATTTTGAAAATGCGGAAGCGCTTTGATTTGCAGAGAGTCCCCATCCCCCCCATCACCCCTTGCCCCTTTACCACTCCCGAGTCATGTTATCAAATGCCTCAAAAATGCAAACGATTTTCAAGCATAAACATAATTATTATTTTCCTGCTCTTTGTCGCCACATAAAATTATTATTCTCATAAAAATTGGTGGGTTTTTATGACGGCGGGGATGGGGGTTTGCTCAATATTTAGCTCGTAAAATATTTAGTGTTTTGTTGTTATAAAAATGGTATAAAATCCGTGAGGAATGGGAGTGAGAGCTTACCGCATATGGATTATCCTGATTCATCATTATGGTAATCTTGGGGTTCTCTGCGTTTGAAGGCTGCAAGAGAAGGTAAGGTGTGTGTATTAGAGATGGAAAATCGTGCATACATATATTTTTTTGTGTAAGTATGTACATATATGAATTTGATAATTTTATCTATAGAATTATCTGGATTATTGCTTTAAAAATTAATATGGTTGTATTTTGACACTTTTTTATAGATTATCAAAATGTATCGATAAATAAACAACGCTAACAAAATGCAAGCCTGATAAAATTAATTATTACAATTTTTTATATTTTTAGATACGATTTTTTAACATTTATTGGATTTTCATGCTACTATTTTATCTATCTATAGGTAAGTTTCCGAGTATTTATCAAAATAAACAAATGAATCGATTGTTGGTTGTTTATTCAACAAATGTACGATTTTTGGGCCAATAAACTCCTAACAATCGATTGACAATCGATAAGTATGTTTAGCCATAAATGCGAACAGCGCACTCATAGAATTTACTTACTTGAATAGATTCAACGACTCCCATTACCATAAAAAGTATTGCTCTTGAGAGCACCCCATCAACAATCGATTATGTTCCCATTTGTGGCCTCAAACAAGACCAAAAGATTCGCCTTCAAAGTCGCTTCGATTTTTCTGACATTTGGCTGCCAGGCTAATACTCGTTTTAATAATAATAATTTCAATATTTATTACAATGCAAACACAGAGCTGAGCTTGGCTTGGCTTGGCAGCTTGCTGCACCTACAAAAAAGCAAGCAGAACGAGAAGGAGAAGAACAACGACTCTGCCCCGACTGTGACTCACTTATGGAGCCCCCCAGACCCGACCCGACAGAGACAGACCCCGTCCTGGGCCACCTCACTTGTCCAGAGCTCGTGCTTTGTGCTTTGTGCTCTCTCCCCCGTCGTACTCGTATCGTATATGGTGTGTGGCATGTTAACTGGCAACAGGTGTTTGCTGTTTGTTGTCTGCTTGCCACATTTGCATTTGATATTTTGAAGCGTGTTTTGCGCGCTCATACTAAATACTTTCACACTTTGGTCGGTGTCGGTCCAGTGCGGTCGGTCCCCTGCTCTGCTCTGCTTTCAACAGATTGTGGTCTTCCGGTGGTGGGTTTGCCCCTTAAGGATGTACAACAAGTCAGCCACACGACCTTGATGTGTTAATTTCTTTGGACCAACTCTTGACAGTCATCAAGGGACATGGCCAGAGGGTGTGGAGCAGGCGATGGAGCGGGGAATCAGGGCCGGGACTGGAGCAGGCAGTGGTGAAGAGAATGGTATGGAGACTGGGACTGGGACACGGCCAGTGCCACTGCCACTGTAACTGCCAGGGACATCTCAGACGAAAGACTGAGGCAACAAACTCGGGCAAAAAACAATCTTTGGAGTGGCCTGCAGCTAACTAGAATAAGTGCACACTCTTTCCAGTTGTAGAACACCACAAAGTTATGTACAAGGCACTCGGCATAAGTAGTACACAAATTGTACACGGAGAGTACGTGTACGTGTACGTATACGATGGGATCTGTCAATATTTGCGACACTTGCAAATGCAAATCCAAGTTAGATTCTTCATTTGACTTGAGGCCAAGTCAAGGCGACATGCACTCGCAGAAACTCTAAAAAATTGCGTCCAACAGGGTATGGAAATGGAAGAAGATTTGAACTTTTTAAGAGTGCAAAATTTTTACATTTTAAAAGGCTTACTTTTGGCTGTCTATAAAAGAATTTTATTCCAGAATCTCAGCTATAATTGGAGCTGTAGAAAGATCTGAAATTATGAGTGGTTTTAATTGGAAAAGCAGTCGTTATATCAATTTATATTCCATTAAAGGAAGGCGCAATATAGAAAGTCCTAACATATTTTGGGATCCTTGATTAAATTAATTTTATAACCTTCCATCCAAATAAACTATGCATCATTGGAATTTTCACTGTCATAAGTATTTGATTTATGGAATTTTCACTGTCATTTTACTACATTTTATAACCAAACCATAGTATCACTCACTCTGGTAGCTTTTCCTATTTAAAGTGATCTATAGATGTTACAATCTATCTAATTCTTTAACTGCTGTGACATTTCGTACAGTGTTTTTCCAGATATTCGCCCCCCACCCAAGACTTTGAATTTTTGTAACAAATATTCTGGCAAATACAAAGCTTAACATGATATTTGCATTATAAAGCAAACATCGACCGAACGACCGATCCGTCTATATCTACATATGTACATATGTACATATAGTATGTATGCATGCATATGCAGCTATCCCCGCTTACACATGACTTACATTGATTCTGTTATATAGTCGTAAAGTTGGTTTATTTGCCCTGCCCTTGTCGTTTTTGTTGTTGTTGTTACTCTGTTGTTTTAGTCCCATGTTTTATGGCCACACTAAAAAGTGCACACTGGTCAACAAAAAACTCGGAGAGACAGAAAACTTTCTCACCGAAACTATTGCTGGTGCTTCGCCTTCCAACAATACTGGGGGTATGGGGGTGTGTGGTTGTGTGTGTTTGGGTGTGTGAATGAGCTATATGGTTTTGTATAATTAAATCATACAAAACCGCAACAGTCGCGTAGAGTTCCGTCGATTTTTTTCAAGTGTTATCTCCCCAACGCCATCATCCATAAGCATTTTTTTGGTTTTTTGTTTCGAATACCCTCCAAGAGGAGGTATTATGGGCTTGTTCAAAAGCTCAGAATGGGTAATGTATGGGGAAGAATTTGCCATAATATAAAACGTCAATGTCTACACTCTCTTATGACTCCCTGTAAACTAATCATTTAGCTTTTAGGATAAATATGCATCTAAAGAAAACGTTTAACAGACGCGCAGTTTGTACGAGAAGTTTATTCCAGGATGGCGAAAACTATCTCTGGATCTATGAAGAAGAGAAATCTACATCTAAAGGGTATCTAAAGCTTCGGCAAATCTTCTCTCAGCTCTTTTTATGCATATTTTTTGTTTCATTCATGAAATTTACATGTTCCCTCACTGCCATCAACACATCTTCCATCTATATTTCCATATCTCAATCTGTCTTTTTTTTATGATTCGCTGAATGATGAATGTGTCTCAAAAAATGTGCCTGTAAAACCGAAATGTTGGTACCGTTTTCTGACGTTTCCCCAAGCAATGCAAAAACCCTCCAAAACTTAAGCATTGAATGACTAAGATCGAGGGATTTGCTATGTATCGGGATCAAACTTTGAACTTACCTTCTTGAGCGACTGTTGTTGGACTGTTTTTTCTCAGAGATGTTAATCCAAATTTGAAGTGAAACTTTTCTTATCACAAAATACCTTTTTTCTTCGCTTTTATTTCCAGTAAGAAAACTATTTAGAAAATCATTTTAAACTCTCCCCTACGTTTTCAGCTTTTATTACTTGTTTTTTTTTTTGTGTACTTTTTGTTGCTATTTATTTTGTTATTTGCTCTGTATTTTGTGTGTGTGTGTGTGTGTATTTTTTTGAGCTATTATTTGTGTTCACCTTGCGCCAATAAAACGTCACTTGAGCCGTCGTAGAGAGTTGTTAGATGTCGTACTCGTACTCGTACTCGTTGCGGTTGTTGTTGCTGTTGTTGTTGTATTGCACTTGACTTTTAGAACTTTGGGGCAAGCGTGAAGCATGTTTCGGATACATCCTACACAGATACACACTATATCTGTATGTGTATGTGCTTTTGTTATAAGTACTATACACATATATCACATGTCGGCAAAAATTTCCGTTTTCCGGGGAGATATGACTCGATTTTGTGGCTTGACAGTTTATAGATTTTTGTTTTTACTTTCTTTGTGGGGTTTTCCTGATCCACACCTTTGTGTGTGTGTGCGTGTGCGTGTGCGTGGGTGGGCAAGGGCACACTGCCACAGCACCTCGCTCCGGTTTTTGATTTACTTTTTTTTAGTGTGGCTGCAGGACCGATAGCCACACCCCTGGGCTCACACTTATCGAGTGCTCTATTTTGGGTTCTCGGTTTTGTTTGCTCTATATATCTGTGTAACCGTAACAGAAATCGATCGAATATCCCCTGCTACGAGACGTAAGCACACTCTGGCAATAAATACGTAAGCGACGCAACAGCGCGACAGCGACAGCGACGGCAGCGAGCGGCAAAGAGCAGCAGCAGCAGCGGCGACGACGACGTGCGACGTGCGATCGAGCGTGCGACGAAAAAGACTGATGTTAAGCAGCAGTTCTGCAAACGCGGGCTTAGACTACGTCTCCGGTCGACTCCGGCTCAGATGCTATGCAGAGGCAGAAGTCAGAGTCGGAGGCACAGAGGCATCATTCGTGTGGCTGCTCGTCGCCGCTCGGTAGCGACTGAGCAGAGGCTTCGGCTACCAGAAAACAACAGCAACAACAGCAGCAACAACAACAGCAGCAGCAGCAGCAGCGTCGGGGAGATGATACAGCTATAAACAAAAAAAATACAACAACAAAAAAATATAAGAAAACGATAAGGAAAACTGGTCTCTCGCTAAAGCAAAAACAAAAGACTTGCAAAACGACAAACGCTGTAGACAGAGAGAGAGAAGGAGAGAGAGAGAGAGAGCTCGAGCTGTGTGTGTGTGTGCATAAGTGAGGAAGAATACGATTGCCGGATTGCTCTCTAACGGTTGATATGCACCTCATATTTACCTAAAGAGCGGCAGTTTCAGAGAGAGAGAGAGAGCAGAGTGTATTTGTGTGTGTGTGTGTGTGTGTGTGTGAGACTTGAGTGAATTTCAAACTCTGGCTTTGAGTGATGTTAACACTTAACAGAGGGTTCTATAAGCCATGTAGTGCCACTTTGGGCAAAGATTTTTATTACATTTCGAGAGAATATTTCCTGATTTTTATGTGAATTTTCGTTTTGTATTTTGTTTCAATATTATTTTAATTAAACTTTGGTTAACTTTAGCTCGACTCTCACCATTTTGTATGGCCCACTCTCTGCTCAAACACACACACACACACACACACACAGACACAAAAGACTTCATTACGACATTTGATTGGCTCGATTAACACAATCGGAGCACCGTTATAACCATACTCATATCAGCAAGAGAGAGATAGAGAGAGAGAGAGAGTCTCACACACATAGCAGCAACAGAGAGAGAGAGAGAGACTTTAGTGAGTGAGAGTCTCGCACACACACACACTCTCATTCAGCTTCGTCGTCGCTTCGTGTGCTATAAATAAACGAACGATCCCGTTTGCCCGTTGGCCAAAACGAGACCGGACTATATTGCCATGTCGCTTATATACCCGTATATATAGACATATATAGTTATATGTTACCGTTTCATTGACCAATGCAGAGCAGCAGTTGGGAGAGAGCGAGCGAGCGAGCCATACAAATGAGAGCAGCAGCAGCAAGCAGCAGGGCAGAGCAGAGCGATCGCGATCGAACATGCGCACGCACACACACATGGAAATCATATTAGCGCTGGGCGTGGTCTATCGATGGGTTCGTTCCCCCCCCACGACCCCCAGCTAACTCATCCACCACACAAAGCAAGCTCTAATTGCTCTTGCCTGTGCAACGGGAGGGAGTGTGTGAGAGGGAGATGGATAGAGGTTTTCCTAACGGCGTTTTAGCATCTACCACTAGTGTTTCCCCCCCCCCCCCTTCCAACACTACCGCATGTCAAGCTGTCATAGTTGGGGATCATTAAAAGCGTTATCTGTTGATAGCCATAAGACATTTTATGATATTACTAACATTGTTAGGCCCCCATGGCGCCCCTACAGAGCGAAACAGAGAGAGAGAGAGAGAGAGAGAGAGGAGGCACACACACACACATCAGAGAGGGAGATCGAGACAGCCGGAGAGACATCTTCAGATTAATGTATCATAAATAGCTTTAGTTTCTGGCACTAAATATAAATTATAATTAGCCATGTTTATGCACGAAGATCTACAAAATTGAATAGTTGCTGTTGGCAACTGTCGATCCATTCCATTGATTGCACCCATTGGGGAGTGGTACTGTACTGTACTGAATCGAACTATGGAACTGGCCATTGAAACGATCCATAAATAATCATTGTATATTGGCTGCTAGAGTTGAATAGTGCTTAAAGATTGAGGATTGTATTGCACATCTAGAGATCATATACTTTGAGAACTTTGTTGCGATTTAATAGATACAAATATCGAGGCCTTGAACCAAGTAGGTTCCACAGCGAATCTTTGAAAAAAGAGCTAAAAACATTATTTCTGACGAAAAGAAACCAATGAAACTTTACAACTCGAATCCTTATATCATTGCTATAGCATTTATGTGATTCGTTAATTAGAATCAATCAGAAAACAAACTGTTAAACTTTAAAAACTTTAAACTTTTTAACTTTTTGAACTTTAAATACAACCAGAGAAAAATGGCCTGAAACTTTAACATTTAGATTAAGTTAATTTCTTTTAATTTAATTTTGATATATATTTTATTAAGTATGTTTAATAGTTAGATTTAATATTGGTGTTATTAAAAAGACTTTTTTAATACATTTAAACAAAGTGATTTGTTTTAATTTCATTATAAATATAGTTGGTTTTCTTTATATGTACTATTAAATTTTTCTCATAGTGTATGTTGTAAGAAGATACTTACAATATATATTTTTCGTATATAGTTTTCTATAGTTTCCCTATACAATTGTAGTTTTGCCCCATTGACACAGCTTTCCAATCGATTCCCAGTTCAATTTTCCCTTAATGACAGCCTCTTTGATAGACTCAAGAAATATCGCAAATATAAATATCCCTCTAATGGTTGTGTCTGCCTTTCTCAGTATTGTTTCCATTCCATTCTGCGAGCTCGTACCCTTGCCAAAACATCACCCCTTTTTCGATGCCATTCGAAAAGGTTTCTTAATGAAATGTGTGTGTCTGTTTTGCAGATGTACATATGTACATACGCTTACTATTATCTTGTATTTCTATTTCCATTTTATTTGAAAATGGGCGTATGGACCGGGGGGCTTAGATCGTGGCTCAATACAATTTCTATACTAATTTTCCCACTTTTCCCCGCTGCTTTCTCTGGCGGCGGCTGCTGCTGCTGCTGCTGTTGCTGCTGCTTTCCCTTAACCCATTTTGACTTTGTGCCAAACGGGGAAAATGTCACAGAAGTTAATCCAATTTGTGCGTTTTATGACTGGCATGGAAGAGAAACCCGCAAGCAACCGCAACCTCGTTATCATCTCGTGGTCTCTCCCTTGCTCACTCTGTGACCTCTAACCCTTTGTGTGCGCCGCCACGCCTACTCCTCCTCCGCCTCCCCGTGTTTCGAAGGATGTTTCGGGGTGTTTTAAACCCATTACAAGGGTCCTTACCAGACAGAAGTTTTTGGTCTGTGGTTCTGCGGCGGCTCGTTTGCCTTTTGCGGTTCTTCGAGATACTTTTGACAAATTTTCATGCTTTAATTTCTTTTTCCTTTTCACTCAAATTTGCATTTGTGTGGGAAAGAGACAGCAAGCAGAGAAGGAGAGAGGGAGAGCGAGTTTTGGGCTAATCCTTGGTGAGCAACAGATTATCCCTGGCAATTGTTTGTCTTTTGATTTGTTTGTTATGGGTGCTACAGAGAGCGCAGGACTTAAGGAAAACCATGTCCTCTGTACGCTTTTCACGAAAATGTGCCGCTGCTCGATGATGCTCGAGGGGTTTCCTCTTGTTCCGTTGCTCCGTTGCCTCCGTTGCCTTTCTTTTCTTTCCCCGATGCCGGGCCTCGCCCCTTTCTGGTTACAGTTTAATGCGTTCTAATGTATGTGACTTTTGGCAGGATTTTCATTTCACATTTGCCGCCGCCAAAAACTCAAGTGACTTGCAGAATGTCCTGCGACAATCGACCATCATCAATCACCTCGGCAAAAGGCCCCTTTCTTTCGGGCACAAATATAAATATTTTCTGCTGAAATTGGGTTAAAGGCAGAAGACCAACTCCCAACTCCAACTCCAGATTTCGATATGGATTCGCATGTGTATTCAGTTTTTACTTATGTCATGCCATCAGATCTGAATATGTATCTGAAAGACTATCCATTCCATACAATAAATTAATTATAAATGCATTAATCAATGCCACAAAAGTCAACATCAACAGCAACAACAACAACAACAACAACAACAACAACAACAACAACCAGACGGTGGAGATTTCTTTGACAAAATACTGACATGAGTGTTCGGTTCGTACGTTCGCTTTAGATATCGGTGGAGTGGATCGATCGTTTTCGCGTCTCATTCTTTGAGGCGTTTGCGTGAAATGAAAACAAAAATTTAAAACACGTTTTCGCGCACATTATTTTCGGGTGTAATTTATGCGTTCGATTTTTGGAGTTCTGAGATTCGACAGAAATACTCTGGAATGGCGAGAGATATTTGTGTTACCAGAGGGGATTGGTGGGTGGGGATTTATTAGTGAAAATATTAAACGGAATTTAACAAAATAAATGAATGAAAATTACGAAGAAACTGTGACATATTTGTAGCTTATTGCTGGCTAAACACTGCAAAAGTAATCCAAAAATACCACTATTTCTGGGGTCTAAAAATGTT